TTGCTGTTGTTGTTGTTGTTGTTGTTGTTGTTGTTGTTGTTGTTGTTGTTGTTGTTGTTGTTGATTGTTGTGTGTTGTTGTTGTTGTTGTTGTTGTTGTTGTTGTTGTTGTTGTTGTTCTTGTTGTTGTTGTTGTTTGTTTGTTTGTTGTTGTTGTTGTTGTTGCTGCATCATTCTGGACAACATCATTACCCCTGTTGTTTGTTTAATTCCTACCAGTGCGGTTGCTGCTGCAAGAACTACAAGTTTCTAGATTGCACACTTAGTTTTGTTGTGATGGCGGGGTTCAGACTCAAAATGAGATTCAGAAGGTTTGCGGGGCTAGCATGTCTTTGCATGAGAGATTCAGCACCGTCGGCACGCATTTCTTGAGCAGCCGCATTTGGCCTCGCCCATGGGTTTCCGAACAAAGCCGTAGTTAGTTGGACTCTTGCACTTCAAGTAAGAAGTCTGACACATCCCCGAAAGCATGCTTTGTTTGAGAATGCCCCAGAAAAGCAACTGCCGAGGGAAATTGACCTGGAGGGCAGCGGGACCGTGGGCCAGGGCGAATTCGTCAAGGGCCTGACGGCACGGGACTTGAACAGGAAAGAGCATCGACAGTTGCAAGTGTGCAGTTGGGCCTGGTAGTTCAGAGACCGTGCATAAACCTCTCGCTCTCATGCCGTGTGTGCCTGACCTTCGTCGGAGGCGCTAGGGTTCTTCGACGACGAGACCATCCCAGAGGGCATCCGAACAGAGGAGTTCTCACAGGGATGTTGGTCAGCCTCTCACAGGATTTGATCATCGCTTCCCGCAGGTGACGGATCATGGTGTGTTGCTGGTGTTAGCTTTTTGGACAGGAGCTTCTCCTCCAAAACCTCTACCCGTTGATTGTGACGGGCACCTGCCTGAGAAAGTCTTGCAGGAGATATTAGCGCAGGAGGTATTAGGGGTGGCAACACTCGCCAAGTGCTCCATCGAGAAGAGTGGTATTCTGCGCCACGATCGGGCTGGTGGGCAACAAGCGGTGCCATGCTGTAAACTTGAGCTGAGGCATAGCTATTTTGTCGCTTTCGGATCAAGCCTGTTCGCAAGAATGGAGTGGTTGGGTTTCCTCGGCTTCGATCTCTCGCTGGAAGCATTGAACCAGAGTGATCTAGCCGCGAAGACGGGAGCAGAAAGGAAGCTTGTCGGAGTAAGGTCCTGGATTCCGACAAGACCCTTCCTAGTCCTAGTTTCTGAAGCCCGGTTTGTCGCGGTCGAACAAGCATACCTTGAGATGGGATATCAATATTCGGGCAAAGCGCAGGGAGCCGCCCCAACCCGAAATGAATGGTCCCCCTCCACCCAGTCGGTCCTGGAGTGTGAAGGCTGGGCACGGCCACTGTTAGTGTAGTACAAGAAAGTAGCAGAGGACAGTGCCCCAGCGAAGGGCAAGAAGAGACGTGGCTGCTGTACAATCTGCTCTGAGGAGATGTTTCAGACCACTTGTTTTTATCGATTTGACCATGGTGTTGGGGGAATGCTTCAAGAACATGCCAAGAAAGATGCAGAAAGGCAAGCTGTCCATGTATATGCCGGGCTTGAGACAAGACATGCCGGAATGACGCGTGGAACTCCACAGAGTCCTGCTGTAGTCTTTTTTGTGCCTCAAACTTCGCCGAAGTGTTCCAAATTCAAGGTCATTGCATCAGCATCGATGACCTTCTCTTCTTGGAGAAGGCAACCGGGTCTTCCCTGCTTTCCGTGCTCGGAGTTTCGGATTCAGAAACGAGGTGAGATCGCTGAAGTTTGGGATCAGAGCATTGCTGGGCCTAACAATGGGAAGTGATATGAAAACTCATCTAAACTAACGGTGATATTTACAGTTTATGCGCTGAAAACTAAACAGCCGTAGCAGCAGCCGGGAGAGAGCTAGATTGTCACCATTGTGGTCCTCTGAAGCAAAGCCTGGTAGTATGTGCCGCTCTGTACGTGTAGCATGACTTTGGCCCATTCCATACTGCCATCATCACCATCGTAGACCTCGCGGATCGCGGAGGACAAGGTCAAGCGCGCCAAGATTATCCGTCAGCTGCAGCGGATCCGGGACCAGGGCATTGAGGCCGGGACCTGGTCTGACTGGCGTAGGATTTTTGTTTCGGCCTCTTTGAGCATATTAGTATCTTCATCAGCATCATGGTCGATGCCGTCATCGCCATCCAGTAACAGCATCGCCAATCACCCCTGAGCCATAGCACCTTCATATTCTTCAGCAGCTTCGCAAACGCTATCTAGCAGCTGCAGCACCATCGTTGCCAGCATAGTCGTCACCATCATCAACGATCATAGTCATCAGCAGATCCTGGTGCATCAGCATCACGATTTGCACATCATGTGAATAACGGCATACCTGGGACTTCATCCTCTTCGGCATCCCCACCATCAGCCGCGTCAGCATCTCTTTCAACCTCGCACTGGTCCTCAAGACCCCTTTGACCCTCATGGCCCTAAGTGGCAGAAAGAGGGGGGGGGGTGTACAAGAGCCATCTTCTTTGCCGGATTCCGACGGCGGTACAGACCGCTGTCGCATTGCCCAGCGCACTGTCCACTCATCGCGAGGGCCTCCAGCATCTCATCGAGCGGTCTTACAGGTAGGTAGGATGGTTAGGTTGTTTGGCAGGTCGGTCGGTCATGCTTGAGCTTAGGCCACCGTTTCAAGTTCTGGAAGAAGTTCCCTTCCTCGCATGTGTTTGCCCCGTACAGTACCATGAAACGATGAGACCGATGGCAGTGAAGATGGCCCGGATAGCCAAGCAATGATTTTTGTAAAGTAAGTGTCACACAGTAAGTGTAGCAGGAAAAGCGATTGTCAGAACCGTAATGTGGGCGTCACGCTGCTTGTAGTTAAGAATATCACAGCAAGGTGAACGTGCATAGCTCAGAGACAGTACGCCGGGTCTCCATCCTTTGTCTCAAGGCCGGACCCGAGCCTTTGCGCAACGAAGGGCAGCAAATGCTCTTCAAGCCGCCGGCCTGGAATGCAAGGGGACCGTCACGGGGGTTAGGGATGGTTAGGCTTCCAAGGCATTTTCCGGCTTCAGACGCAGACAGCAGCGGCACAGTGCTCCAGATCATGTGAGGCTGTCCATGTCCACGACGCAGCTGGGAGGCACGCTAAGCCAGTGTTAAGTGCCGCGCACGCAGAGTCACGTTTCGGAGGAAACTCCTTGTCGCTTTTGTGTTGGAGCTGGGCTGGACTGCCACAGGAAAGCACTGGAAGGGCGTGAAGTCCAAAGTGGCTCGCGGGGCAGGAAGCATGCCCGATTCCCCAAACTTCCGCCGGAGGCTTGGTCTGCACGCGTGCTGGCGAGAGAGCAGGTGGTGGAAGTGGTATTGCCTCGAAGACGAAGCGACGACGGTGAGGCGGACGAATACGACGGCGATGGCGACGCGACGCTCAGTACATCAAGAAAGTTCCACGTAATGATCTTAAGTCACCAGAGGAGGGACCTTGTTCTCTGGTCCACTCTGCCCATGACTAAGTTAAAATTCGTGAGATACTTATGTTGTCTACAAAAACGAGCAACGACCATGTTGGTGAGATCTTTATGTGGTCCTGCTACACAAATTCACAATTCTGGGTTCAAGGCCGTGTTCGCGTGCACATTCTTCGAATTTTTGTTGGTGGCACAGCCTGAGCGGTTTCCAGCTCACGTGTTGATACACAGCAGAGTGGAAGCCGTGTGTTTCTTAAGTGGGATCTGAATGCTGATTTGCCATGTTGAGGGCTGAAAGTATCGACTCCGGCGACGACGGGGCGGACGACGACGCCGGCGGCGACGACGATGACAGCGGCGGCGACTGTGACGGCGACGCGGTTACACTGAAGGCCCGACGACGACGACGACGACCACCGGTAACCGGTACTGACACTGCTGTAGCTGTGTGCTTTCTTCTATTGCATCTGACGGCTCCCAGGGCCCAACCTGACGTGGCTCGATCAGATTTCCTTGGCCCGTGCTCCGAAATCGCCAGGCAGGGAGGGGTGTCACGTGAATAGCGACACGATGCCATGCATCACACTCATAAGTTTATTCATGATCTTCGTGACGGAATTATATAATTCAGTAGTTTGCCATGGGGATCATGCCGCATAACACTACGAATAGTGCATAATGGTGCTGTCTGGGAAAGACTGATGAGGATAGCGACAGTGTTCAAATTATCGTTATCATTCCTGCTTGCCATCGCCACTACAGTAGTCATGGTAGCATGTACTCGTACAGCCGAGGATAAGTTTTCAGGCTATCAAGAATGACAGAACTTCTGTCTCTTGAGAATCGAGAGTTTAGCAAATCGTGACTTGAACCACACGCTAGCCACAGCAACAGTTGTCGCATCGTCTAGGCTGTATCAGTCATCCAACAAGGCGTAAATTCCTGCTGTGCACATGTTGTATAATGTGTATTAGATACGACATGTATGTTCAATGGATACTCCACACAGAAATGTCTATAGTGTACAAAAACAGGTCTCCTACCCCGCGCCGAAACATTCCTCTGAGAACCGCTAGTTGGTTTTGTCATTTTTAGTCGTCTTGGTAATCTTGGTCGTCTTGGTCAGGAGACTTGGGCGGGGCAAGTTGATTCGTCAACTTGGTCATCTTGCTTTGGGAGTAAATGCTAATGGACGAGTTATCTTGGTTGTCTTGGTCTTCTAGCTCGAGGAGGTTTTTTAGGGTTTTACTGTAGGGTTCAGGGTTACATGCGCCCGGCGTCCGCATGGGTTTAGGGTTCAGTGGGTTAGGGTTCATGGGTTTAAGGTTTAGGGTTGAGGGCTTGCCGTAGAATAGCGCGACAATTCTTGGGCATTGGGCAGGGCAGGGCAGAAAGCAGGATGAGGTAGGGGCAGAAAGTATGCGCACGTCAGTCTACTGCTACATAGGTACATACATACGTGCACATAAATACAAACATAAACAAACAACTAACGAACCAACTAAAGACGCAACCAAAGAAACAACTCAAGACACAAACGAAGCAGCACTCACAAAGAAAGAAAGAAACAACAAGAGACATAAACAAACAAACACACTAACACACAAGCGAGCAAGCAAACAAGCAACCAAACAGAACAAATTAGATGCATGCAGACATACTTGCATGCATGCATACATGCATGAATACATCCATACATACATATCTGCACACATATACACACATTCTCACATACATTCATCTATGTATATATATATATACACATGTACATTATATGTACATCATATATATATATATATACACTAAAAATTTCAGGCGGCATGTGCGGGTGTCCGATAGTATTTGCATGCAATCGTAGTACATGCACTGCCATCGCGACTTATTCTACCAGAGGCACCCAGCACTTTCACCTCCACTATCGGTCCACCTGAGCTGTTTCTTCGGCTGCTGTGGCAGTTAATAGTCATCATGACCACTATTTCTATTGCTGTTTTTGTGTTGGTTCCTGCTCGTGCCGCTGCTGAGACTTTACCAAATACTCTTGCCGCTCCTCCTTCGAGTTGTGTGCTGAGGTCGCTCGGGTGCGTTGCAGATTCCTGCATATCCTCCCTTATGTAGTGCCAGAAACACTCGAAGAAATCTCTTGGAGTTTTTGCGAGGTCACCGAGTCGTGGATGTTTCCAAGGTTTCCTTGTCCTGCCAGGGCTGACGTCTTCGGCTTCCGCGCCCTCTCTACCAAAGTTGAACAGCACTCGGTGTTTTGATGCTTCACACTTCAACATCTGGGCAGAATGACTTGATGGGCGTGTCGGTCGCTGATGAACACACTTGAATTGTAGAGAGCATGCACCCGCACCCCGAACCTCAGTTTCTCACAATCTGCAAAGCAGTAACCGATACCTGCTAGCCGCTAGACACTCCTCTAAGCAGAGGGAAGCCAAGGCTCTGCATCTTGTGTACATCCGATTTAGGCCTGGGAGGGCTTCTACTTCGCCTGCCGGCACCCGGAAGCCCCGCCACGGCCGCAGCAGAGGGCCATGGGAAAGCTAAAGCAGTTGTGCAGTCCATGAGCTGCCGTCTATCTTCACGGTCGTCTTGCTGTTAGATTCTGCTAGACTGCTGATCTAGTTTTTGCTAGCCAGATTTCGCAACTCAGCCTCACACCGGGCTTCCCTGCAAACAGACACCACGATGAGTGCAGCAAAAGGCTTGTTGTTTCTTGTGTACTCGGGAAGCATCGGGATGATATTTCCTTGGAGCAATTGTTAACACTTGCCGACAGCAAGTCGTTTGCAGCTGTGTAATCCGAGGGCTCGTAGTTTCGTAGATACATTGATGCAGTGGCCAAGTCGCTGCCTTTGTCCAGACAGCAAACGTGCAAAGACTTGGGGGAGGGGGGGTGGCAACCTGTATAGCTGTGGAAAACACACCACACTTCACAAGGGTTTGTCGGTTCAAGAGGCAACTTCGCGCATCTTTGTGGAAATGCAGCTCCAACAGTCAGCGCTTTTTGCTGTCGCATCCGGGTCAAGGCAAGCCAATGCGTTCCTGACTCTCCCTTCTTGTGCTGCGGAAACTGGTGCTTTCTCTGCTGTAGGGTCGTTTGCTCGATTGAATTGCCGGAGTTACGACTGAATTGAAAGGCCAATATCCAATAATTTAGAAGATAATAATCGAATCTAACCCCAACAACAAAATAATTCCCGAGCGTTCCGATGACGTTTGTTTATTATCAAGTCGAACATTAATTCAATTTAATTTCTTCTGTTAATTAATTCAACATGGGTAGTTTTGAATTTGATCATAATGACAAACTCGAACGCAAACAATAGCCCGAAATTAACCAAACCAAACCTTAATATTGTTGGTCCCCACTAGTTAGCGCCGACTTACGTTGGGGCCCAGTGCCCAACGGCGAACGCTTGAAAGTCTCTAACTTTTTGACAGCCTAGCCAACTCCATTGGTGGAAGCTTTCTGATTTTTGCCCGACACTCGCTAGACTTGGCATCATAGCTGCCTGTTGAGACATCACACGCCCCGAGGCAGCATGACATTGGATCCCTTGCCGGCCCCGATGATGGTCGTGAGCCCGGAAGAGTAGAGCACAGCTGAGATGCAAGATGATTCCGCTGGAAAGAATATTTCGTTCCCAAGACAGGGGTGACAAAGTGAGACTAAGCGGGTTGCGTGGGCGGGAAGTGAGGAAGAAATCTCGCTTGCGTTGTCCCACCTGAAGAATTCAAATCTTGCCTTGGCCTCATTGAATACGCATCATAGGACCCTTGTGCCATAATTGTTGTGTGACTCTAATTTATTTAATTCAGAGGCCCCGAACATACCTAGTGGTAGTTTGGGAAGAGTATCCGAAGATGAACCAAACAGGCGACTCCTCCGAGTTGTTGACCAATCCTTGCCCTTGGATTGGGCACTCTCTTAAGCTTCTTCAGGGTTCCTGCACAGCTGCTTGGTGTCAATGTCTGTTTGAGTTTTCAGTTCTGCACATGTAACATTCTCAACCTCAGAACGGGCTAGTGGCCTGGGATGAAGCCCCATAAATGCTTCTGGAGAGCTTAGTTCACTTTTGTCTCTGTTTTTTCTCCTATGTCTTCTGCCCGAGCGGTGCGTTGCAGTATGAAGCACCTGGCTGCAGTGTGGAGAGCTGAGCAGATTTGAGCTGACATGGGTCAGAAAACTGTGCTGGGGCTGGAGCTAAGGTCCCGCTGCTGCCGCTGCCGTCCTTGCCGCTCGCCCCCCGCAGCAAACCCAAGGGAGCGCTCAGCAGAAGTTCCCCTTCCATCTCGAAAAGCGTGTCTTTCTCGGAGACACGGCAACTGAAGCAAAGACGCATTGAAATGCTCGCTGCGGTTGCGATCCAGTCATGGTCACAAAGTCTAGATCTGCGGCCGCTCAAGCGCAACGAATTTCTGGACCAGTGTCTTCTCAGTGGCCTTCTGGAAGTTGGACGGCCGGAGTCGGGTCAGCTGGGTACCGAAGGGCCTGTTTTTGACCCAGTGGCATTATCGCAGGAGGACCAGGCCGGACTGAAAGAAGTAGACTATGGCCGCAGTAAGCCGACGAAGAACTGTGTGAAGCCCATTTCTGCTTGTGTTCTGTCCGTGCCCCGGCCCCAGGTGTTCGAGAAGGGCCTCCTTGACATGTCGATCAACATAGGTCGCCTGGGCCTGCTGGCAGCGGCCATTGGCGCTGAAGCAGACCTCGAAGATGATGTCAACGAGGAGGATCCATGGCCATCGTCAAGATCTTCGTAGCCAGTGTTGAATTTATACTAGACGCTTGCGTTCTTATACCTGCTGCGTTGATCGTTGGAGTCTTCGACGGCCTGTTCAGCCTGGTAGCCGGCCTCTTCAGTGATTCAGGGCCTAGGCGCAGGCGTGAGCGGAGCTTATGGGGTAGTCGCGGACCCGCTCAGGAGCTCCTCATGAGCCTGTGGTACTTGAAGAAGCGGCGCGGGCGGCACCATAGCTTTCCCACACGTGTGAAGGCCGCGCCCTGGCCATTTGTCAGAGTCGTGAGAAAAATACAGTGATACGTAAGAGGCTTTCACGCACCATCTTCCCGCCGAAAATATCTTGTCTGAGACGCTTTTTGATACTACAGGTAATACTGTAGGTTGCTTCCTTAGTGCTAGCCTGCTCGTGCAGGGGCGTCGCTACTTCCCAATCCCGCGGCCAAGTTCTGTCCGGCTTTGAGCTAGGCGCCTATCTGTCGCTGCTGCAACTCCGGATGGGATTCATCGCATTCATGTGCTGACTGCAGTACTGTGTCTGCATCTTGCCGTGCGAGTCGAGTTCCGTGTCACCGGGGCGATCTAGCGCAAAATCTGACCGTCTGCGACTGTATCCACCAACTTGTCCTAAAACCCCGGCATAGCAGATTCCTGAGCATGAGGCCTGGGTGCAATCTCGGCGGCAATCGCCGAAGTTGAGTAGGCCTTCCAAGAAGGCCAAGTTGGAATGTACAGAAGTTGTGGCTGGCGGGTCGTGGGTCGCCTCGAGGATGAATCGGCGGCTTGGTCGGTTCAGGCAACTCCGAGGTTCCAAAAACAACTTCCCTTCGTGCCAGATGTACGGGTTTGCAAGGCTTTCATACATGCGCTTTTTGGAGATACGGTTTTGTTGCTTTTTCTCAGTAAATGCCAGCTAATCAGCTCCTCAGCGACCCGCAAGCAAGCCTGAACAGGTCACAGTCTCACTAAGTGTGGAAGCGCCAATGAATGCGTCGCGCTTCCCTTGTAACTCCAGAAACATGTCGATGTGTCGATGTCGTGACGTGAACGAACTTTAAGTTTCATGTGTTTTTGGAGCTCCGGCTGCCTTATTTCAGTTAATACCTATATGATTATGTATGATAGCAAGCAATTGTGTTGCCCTCGCGATGGAGTGTGGGGAACTCTTGGGTCAGCGTCTAGCCCAGGACTTGCCATGGATTGGCTGGCGACTTTATAGTTTCCAAGTCTAGGACACAAGTCTAAGTGGAACTGCTCATGCTGTTGCGATTGATGGCCACATGTACTTGCACTCAGGCAGAGCAGTCCGTTTGTCATTGCTCTGATCGCAGCGTGATGGCTCACATAGGTTCCTCTTCCCAAATCTTCCCATGCAAACGCGTCAGCAACTGACAAACATTGTAAAAACAAGCCAGTACTTATGTTGGACGGACGCATTGGCAAGCAAGCACTGAAGAGCATCAAGTACACTGGCCACTTGCTCGTTGCTGCTTGCATCAGCCTTCATCAAACATGAAGCCGGTGCCTTACGGCTTTTGCACCAGCAGCAGTGTCCTGTGATGACTTCTCGGTGTCGGTCGCCCAGTTTGCACGCGGAGGTTCGGAAAGAGCATTGGCAGCCAGCAAGAGGTGCCTGCTTGCAACGGAGTTGGACTTCGCATGTTGCATTGTGATTTGGCCGTGTCAGCGAAAGAGAAGCTGAATCTCCAGATGAAGTATTTGGCTTGCAAACAAGCAATCAAGAATTCGGACCAACAGTGCTGTAGTATCTCAGTAGCAGTGTGATGGTGATGATGGTGATGGGGATGATGATGAGATAATCATGATGATAATCTTGATGATAATCTTGATGAGGGTGGAAAGCAAAGCAAAGAGCGCTAGAGGGAGCGAGAGATGGACAGATTTGCCTGCGGACAGAAAAGAGGCAGCGTTGATTCCCAAAGCGTGAGACAAGACGTCTTTCGCCGACAGTACCCGTGGAAAGGGGCATGCAGACCTTCACTACGTTGAGTACAAGCTTCTGAAGAAGAAGTGCGGCTCTCAGGTTCACAGCAATCAGCAACGGCCGGTCTCTGAAGTCCTGAACATTAATGTAGAGTTTGAGTTTGACCAGGAGCCGGTCGTAGCTGACCGTGCGAAGAGATCTTGTCGCGGCAGGATCAAGGATGTTGTCGGGCGCCTCCAGGCCAGCGAACTGGCGGAGGCTCAAGCTTCAGAACCTTCAGCTCAAGCCAATCTTCACCCGAACCACTAGCGACTCCATGCTGCGTGGGAAAGAATTGCCAGGCTTTGACCGCCAACACAGTCTTTGAGGAAGAGCTAGCCGCGGAAATCGGCCGCGTGCGGGACTTGTGCGGGCAAAGAAGATGGTGCCTGTGATGTTTCAGTGCGCGGACTGCTCGAACGATGTTGCATGATGCTCTCGTGCTTTCCTGATGTTGAAGGCTTCGCTTTCTTAGCCTTTGTGCAGCAAGGCTTAGTCTACTGTGCTGTGGTGAGAGTACAGGCTGCACGGCTTCGCCAGGTCAACCAGTGCTTCTCACAAAACCAGCATGATCTGCTGGATAGGACGGCCATCATCGTGGGATCCTCTTGCTGTCTGGCCGTTGGTCGGGATCCATTCCGGGATAGTCGGCTGCTCTCCAGAACTTGAGCTGGAACTGCGAAACCACGTAAATTTTAACACCCCGTTAGGACGGCGCAACTCGCCGAAGAGCTCCACCAGCGGAAGGCTTCCATGTCTAGGGACTCTAGGGCTCAGAGGAAGAGAAGTTCGCCTCCTAGTCCTGGGTCTTGAAGTCTGCTTTGGGAATCTTTGGAATCTGGAGTCTGCCGGTTTTTTTGTGCAGGAGCACAGGATGCCATGAATGCCTTCCGAAGGCATCTAGCCGCTCTAGCCGTGTCTGTCCACGCCAGGGATGCAGCGACGAGGGAGGCATGGGCGCCTGTTCTGCATGAGCCGTCCAGTTCAAATTGTGGGCCACGGATGGTGATCTTGCATCTTGACGGTCGCCCCAGTCCGATGAGCATCGGTGCAATCCGCCACTTAATCATAGTCTTCGGCATTGCGCTTGAAGGGCAAAGGGTGACAAGGAGGGCGTCCAGGGACGATTGCTGTGGTTTCTGTAGTTCTCAAGTCTGCCAGAGCAAGCTTCGTCAAGAGATCCCTTCAGCTGGCTGAAAGTCGTGTGGATACCTGTGCAGACTTGGGTTCCGCCTTGGGTATCACTGGATGGTAAACGCTGCGGCATGTCTGCATCTAGCTAGCAGCTAGCACAGGGGCAGAAGCACATAGCAGATGCAGTACATGCAAGTCTGCAGTAGTATACACTTGTATTCCATTCATCAATGCAAGGGTTGTAGCAGAATTGCAACTACCCGACTCGCATATGTATGTATTATACATACATACGTATATATACATATATATA